GACATGATGTCTGTGCATTGGGGCAATGCAATGATCTAACGTCCGCTTTGGCGCACCAGCACGATTCTGGCAAGCCTCCTTTAATCCCTCCTGCTAGCGGCAGTGAGGTATGGGGGGCCAGTACCAGGAGGGTTCTCACTGTCGCTGTAGACCGTATCCTCCCCCTGCCCTGGTGTGATACAAAGTCATTATTTGCCAGACTCACACCATAGCATGATGTCATTTTTGATGCAGACATGATGTCTGTGCATTGGGGCAATGCAATGATGTAACTTCCGCTTTGGCACACCAGCACAATTCTGGCAAGCCTCCTTTAATCCCTCCTGCTAGAGGCAGTGAGGTATGGGGGGGCCAGTGCCAGGAGGGTTCTCACTGTCACTGTAGACCTGCCCTGGTGTGATACAAAGTCATTATGTTGTCCCCCATGCAGTCATGTACCAAAGTCTTAGAAGAAGCCACCAAGTGTGTGGCCAAGCTGTTGGTTAGGTGCTTTCAGTCTATCACCCCAAGAACGAGACCCAAAAAACTCACATTTCCAGGATAAAGACAGGCAGCCCTAATAGCGACCCATCTGGGGATCTGAGCCCGCCATTAGAACACGTGTACTATTCCTTTGTCCGCATCAGTGTGAGGACGTTGGTGGGTGTTATACCCCTCGCCCCTCCTTACCTCTACCCGTACCAATAGGCACACACCACCTAGTTGCAGGGAAAGAATTCTCTAGGCCAGAGATTTGAACATTTTGTCTAGCACTCTCTTACCCCTCCTTACGTTGGTGGGTGTTATGCCCCAATAGGCACACACCACCTAGTTGCAAGGAAAGAATTCTCTAGGCCAAAGATTTGAACATTTTGTCTAGCACTCTCTCACTCACACACTTAATTCTTTCCTTTTTTTGTTTTGCAAGCCGTCAGTAATTAGCACATTTACACTGTTGCTTTTATATTAGCAGCAATGTCAACTGCCAAGTGTGGCAAGCACAGACTCATAAAATTTGGTCTCTCGAAAATCATTGGGGGTGTGTTAAGAGAGGGAAAAAGAAAGGGGAAATGTGCCCTGAGCACTTAGGGTTTTTTAAAATTTCAATTTGCTCTTTATGGAATATTATTTACAGCCACATGAAACAGAACGAAGGAACGCTAAGCCCTCTCTCTGCTCAACCGGTGAGAGGTAATTGGCGCCGGGCTGCTGTTTATTTCCAGATAGCCATCTACTGGCGTTCTCACAAACAGCATTGCCTTGGAAGAAGTGGAGGAAGACAGAACAAGGGAAAAAGTGCAGGAATGATCCAGAAAGAATGTTAAACAGCTCAAAGTGTTAGGGTTGGATTTGGAAGGCAGCAATGGGGAAGGGCGGTTGGCTACCATTGAGTCAGAGGAAGCATGTTGCCTTACTTTATTTCATTACTACTTTATATTTATTTTGTCACTTCCATACTGAAAGTATTCCAGAGCCATGTACAGTTATTAACCATGCAATCCTAAACAGATTTACATTCTTCTAAGCCCATTGTAATAGACTTAGAAGCACTTGACACTGGTTTGGTGTGCAATCCTAAACAGAGACTTAGAAGCACTTGACACTGGTTTGGATTGCACTGTCCGGTACCCAACACAAGTGATAAAAACATAGCCGTCTGCTCAAGTCGATACTGAAAAATCACATTTTTGCCCTGCTTCCACCTTCACCTTACCAAGCTGTTGGTCAGGTGCTTTCAGTCTATCACCTCAAGAATGAGACCCCAAACTCACATTTCCGGGCCAAATTCCTGTTTGACCCCCATTGTTCCACAAGAATCTGCCCTGGCCTTGTCCAGAAGCCTGTGCATTTGAAACCAAGCACAAGCAATCCTCTTCAGCTGAAGAACACATGATAGGTTACAATTTACTTTATCATTTTAGTTAGAAAATGTATATATGTCGCCTCTCCAGAGACCTGCTCTCAAGGCTGTTTACCATGTAATCATAAAAATGGCAATGTAGGAATTGCCAATATTTTTAAAAGACACAAAAATAAGCTAGGGGCATAAAAACAGATAGAATGCTATGCTCTTTGATGTGGTTGTTGTGGCCAGGGGCCTGGCCAAGTGCCTCCCATGGGGCAGCCAGCATGAGAAGGCCTACTCAGCTCAGCTTGCACCTTGGTTAGGTTGCCAACAGGCCTGGAGAAAAATGTCTTCTCTATTGTGGCTTCATGTGCAGTAAGGTTGTCAGCAGGGTGCTGGCAACCCCTGGAAAACTCAGTGGACGGAGTCTGGACATGTGGCATCACACCAATGCTGCAGTGTGATTATTGGCACATACCCAGAAGTGATGTCAAGGTGTTGGGGTGACATTACAGGATTCACCAGAAACTTTATAATTTTACCATAGAGTTTCAGGTGAATCCTAAAGTGTCACCCGAATATGGTGACATCACTGCTGGGTCTGTGGTAGAAATGGCATTGTGGCCTCAGATTCCTCCACTCCCTTTTTCCTCCCACTGCTTTGTGGGGTTCCAAAGCAGGAGTTCTGCCAAAGTGGGAGAGACTTTGCACTGTTAATGTTTGAAAATGAGAAGCTGAAGCTTTTCATGGCATTAAGGTAAAGAACATCAGCTGGTATTCCCTGCAGATCAAGCTGATATTAAAGGGACAGCTGGAGAGACCAGTTTAAAAGTTGTCAACCCTAGTCCCAGGGCATTGTAACATCCTCGGTGATGAGACCATGCCAAGCTCTAATGTGGCTCCTTGCACCACAACCCCCCGGTAGGCAACCTCTAGGTCTGGGGAATCTACCACATTGGACTAGCCTCTCTTTTCTTTCCTCAATGAAATATTGCTGCTCAGAGGGATGGAAACATTTTGTACGCTTTTTGTTAAGGCTCTTGTGAGCAACCCCCGCCCCCGAAATAGCATGACCTACACAGTAAGGGAGCTTTTAATGGCATGTTTATCAGCTCTGGTCTTTCGAGCCTATCGGCGCAAACAGACCACCCACATGGAAGCTTCAAGGCTTGGCAGGGACTCCAGATTTTCCTCCATATTTCTTTGTTTGTGTGAGCGTGTGTATGTGTGCCAAAGTGGATGGACCAGCTAGCTTGGGGACTCATGGTGCGAAGGCGGTGCTGTCTCTTTGCTACAAGGCCCAAGAGAACAGCTAAACAGTTTTATATCTGTGTTTATAACTGCATGGGTGGAAATCAAAAATAGAAGCATGTGTATTGCTGTACATACACCCACACACCACAAAGTTATGGTGGCAAACTGGAATGATCTATGATAGTCACAAATTCAGGGGTATTTATTTTTTAATTTAGGGGTTTTGTTTTTAATACTTACCGATATGGAGATCTGATCAGGAGTGAGAAACCCTAAATCGAAAATTGTCTATGGCCCTTTTTAGCCATTGCAATTTTGATGCTCAAACTTCACCTGAGGGAGATCATGATACCGCATGATCCTCTTGATATGTTTGCTAGTCATTTTGTGTGAATATAGCAACACACATATTTTCCAGCTTCATTATTCATGAGCATATACTCCTCATACATCTGCATATATTAAAGCTGGAAAATACACGTATCACACGATTTACACAAAATGGTGACTGTGCCTATGAGAGGATTGTGGATAGTATAATATACCCTTACAGTTTGAGTGCCAAAACTATAATGATATCAAAGAGCTTACATGAATCTTGAAATTCACTGGATTTCACACCAGTGTCAGTCCCAGAGGTAGCAAAACTTTTGGCCCTACATTCAGACATCATGAAAAAAATTACTCAAAAAATAAACCCAGAATTCCTAGAATTCATGCACATGCACACACATGTGAAGACTGAAGAATTTCTGGTTCCAAACAAGAGGGAAGGCAGGAATGGGAAGGGATAGACAATGAGGTATAAAACCTGAGTGTATTGACTACTAATGTATGCAAATCTATATTGTGGGCTTGCATGAGATTTATACCTGTTAAGCAGCCTTGGCTCATCCTGAAAGTACTTGGACATTCATGAGGGGGCTAAAAATTCTATTTTAGAGACACACACCCCGCCAAAAAACAACAACAACACTCCTCTGACTCCATGCCAGCTTGTGGATGATTCAATAAAATATGGAACTTTATAGGTACAAGAGTTTGGCTAACTCAAATAAAACAAGACATCTGTGGACAGCCATTGGTTTTGTGTTGCCTGGTGTGAAAGTGGGAAATTTCAGCCACAAACTACCTGGAAGTTATCCTAAAGAAGCCACACTGAGATGAAGTGGCTTGCGCAGGACAAATTCCCAGTGACTTATGCCTGTAAAATCATGGTGGTAACTCTCAGCAATATTTGGCTTCTGCTAGGAAAAGTAGGCTTCCCTTTTGGATGACATTCACAGGGGAAAGGTTTACCAAAAGTGTATTGGCCTACATCCCAGCCCTCCACTAAGCAAAGCTTGTAGCCTTCCTCCAACTCAAGTGGCTCTTCCTCCAATGGAAAAGCCTCTCCAATGAAGAGCCACTTCAGTTGGAGGCTCCATAGACTGGAAGAACTACCTCCAGTCTGAGGCAGGATACCACCCCTTCCATGGAGAATTTAATGAAAACTCCATGTTCAAGAAGCAGTATTTAATTATTTGTTTATTTATGTTACTTATAGTCTGCCTTTCTCATAGGAACTCAAGGTGGATTACACACAGCATAAAGCTGAGTACCAGATACCAGGGATAAACAGCAAGGGAGGCAATCTCCGTTATGCCCTCCTTTTGAGGTTGCTGGAAGCATTGTGGCATGCTGCGCTAAAGAATAGGAAGAAAATGCTAGACAAGGTGTACCTTTGGTCTCTCCTTCTGTTCTTTTCTGTGGTTAGCATGGACATATTTCAGTTGAGCTGTTTTGGGTTGTTGTTTTTACAAAAAATGGACATTCTAATAGGCCAGCTTCCTTCCTGTCTACTAAACGCAACAGGAGACAGCTAAAACCCCCACCATATAACATCATTCTTGTCTCTCTCTCTCTTTTCCTCCCAAAACAGGTACATCTGACCTGAGCCCTTTCCCTGATCCTCGTCAGTTTGACCGGCCCTTTTCTGCATTACCGGGCCTGACCGAGGGCAGGTTTTCAGACCCTCGGATGCATTTTGGACCCTCGGGGGCAATGTCCGCAGCCTTCCCTTACGCAGCCACACCCTCCGCCACTGGAATTGGAGGCATCAGTATGACCAGCATGCCTGCCGCCTCTCGCTTCCACCATACATACCTTCCCCCGCCTTACCCAAGCTCCACCCAAAACCAGAGTGGACATTTCCAGACCAACCCATCCCCTTACCATCTGTACTACGGTACATCCTCCGGGTCATACCAGTTTTCCATGGTGGCCGGGGGAGAGCGCTCGCCCACACGGATGCTTCCCTCTTGCCCAAGCGCATCGTCTGGCAACAGCTTGATTAACGCCAGCCTCGCCAACCAAAATGATGGCATTGAGGCGGACGGGAGCCACAGTAACTCGCCGACAGCTATGACAACTACTGGGAGGATGGACGAAGCTGTCTGGAGGCCATACTGAAGAGGACCAGTAGACCAGCCACCTTTCACTTTCCTTGAATTAGAATGCCCAGCAGTGTGCTATGTTAAGAATTAAAACGAGCGGGTAATTGAAAAGGGGGCTGCTGCGGTGGCCTTAGCAATGCTCATCCCAAAGATAAGACTGCTCTTGTACAAGACATAGGCAGTTGATTAAGCAAAGACAGGCTGGAGAGAGGCTGAAATCTGTATGCATTTCAGAAACGACAAAAAACTGTTTACCATTGCTCCTTCAGGTTCCCCCTTGACTGGCATCCATCATGTTCTGAATGTACATAGGAATGTATAGAATGGGTTGCTTTACTTCTTTGCAGAGAGATGTCTGAGAGAAAAAAGCCCTAATCAATCATCTCAAAGGTCAAAGGATTTTTAAAATAAATGTGTGTGTTTTTTTTAAAAAAAAGTCAGAAAAGTTTAAGAATATTATAAGATGCCCAGGCTGCAAGGGTTGGATCCTGTCACCCCCTTCCATTAAGCAGGATCCTATGACTTCCCTCCGCTAAGTCTTTCTCTATCAGAGGAAGCCTTTGTTTGGCTTTCTGCCTTTGTTGGAGGAAGACTTAGCGGAGAAGAGTCATAGTGGAAGGGAGTTACAGGACCCAGCCCCAAATGTCATAGTCCTGTTTTTTCTAACATGCAATATTTATCATCACTGGACAAAATAAATGTGTTAAATCAATGAACTGGCATTGGGACTTCCTATTACTGAAGACAGCAAGCGAGATGTGTAGAAACAGCTCAAAAGCCTTTGTGCTGTCACATCCTGCCCCCCCTTTCCTTCTAGACAGCAGCTGCAGCCCCACCAGGATGTAGGGTTAGCTGGTTGCCTCATGTGGTGGCTTTGGGGCACTGGGGGGAGGCAGATCTGACCCATGGGGCTCAAGACACTGGGAAGTTCTTCCACTGAAGTGACTGTAGCTGCTGTCTGTGCCAGTGGGTCTTGTACCAAAGAACTTCCCAAATGAAGTTGCATCTCCTGTTAATTAGCACCAGTGGTGGGGTACCATTTTGAATTTTCTGCCTCCAGAACCAAATTGTCTTGGCCTGGGTTTGTGACTCTGCAGTCCTTTAACCACAAACAACACCCCAGAACTCTTCTGATGATGTGCGTGGACGCTAATCTGGGAGAACCGGGTTTGATTCCCCCCACTCCTCCACTTGCAGCTCCTGGATGACCTTGGGCAAGCCATAGTTCTGTCAGAGCTGTTCTCTCAAGGACAGTTCTCTCAGAGCTCTCTCAGCCCTGCCTACCTCACAGGGTGTCTGTTGTGGGGAGGGGAAGGGAAAGGAGTTTGTAAGCTGCTCTGAGACTCCAAGTGAAGGGCGGGGTATAAATACAATCTCTTCCTCCTCCTCCTGATATGCCAGAGCCAGCCAGCTGGATTCGAAATTGTACAATTCTTGAGCATCATCCCACAGAAACAATGAAGTTGGAGATGTATGTATTAGCTGATCAACAAGGGCTTGGTCTTCATTATTTGATTTTATTTAAGATATTTATAGCTGACTTTTCCATGATTTTGTGCAAGGCAGCCTACAGATCATAAATCAAAAACCATGCCCACATGGCAAATTGAATTGTTAAAAGGTCTCAAACCATAGGAGAACAGCAGCAAAGCTAACAAAACTAAACATCAAAGAAGCCTCTTAAGCAGGAAAACAACAGCATCTTTGGGAGCAGTCGTATGCAGGACTACTCAAGTCCCATTTTATTCAATGGGCTTGCTCCCCCGAAAATGTTCTTAGGATTGCAGCCTTTATCTGGTGTCTGAATAATGGTATTCTGGGGGATCACATCAGGGGTCATTTCGTAGAAAAAGAGCTAGGGGAACTCATTAGCATAACTCATTAGCATATACCACACCACCTGACATCAGGGGCCCGGCGGTGGACCTGCAAGGCTAGCGGGAGTGCGAGGAAGCCCCGCGAAGGGCCCCCCTGACCCCAGGCAGACAGGGGTGGGGAGAGGCGGGGAGGAAGCAACTTACCCTCCCTCTTCTCCTGCCTCCTCCTGGCTGAATGAGGTCTGGAAGCGGGGCAGCCGGAAGCAGGGGGCGGGGCTTCGTCATGTGCCCCGTCCCCCTGCACCTCACCCAGGGGAACTGCGTTCCCCCCCGAAATGACCTCTGGATCACATTTATGATGGGCCCCTCATCTTTCTGTTGTGCCACCCAACCAAAACAGCCAATTGGCATGCTTCCATCTGTTTGTACAGGGCCATCTGCACATGACCTAAGCTGCTGCATATACTCACTGTCACATAGGCCCACTTCTCACTGACATGGTCAACTGTACTGCTGATTTTCTACTTATAGGGAATCGTCTTTGTATAATGGAGAGTTCCATGATGTGAGGCCCCCATCTCACTGTGTCCTGCATTTTTAAAATTCTTCACTGGCCCTCAAGGCTGATCCCATAGGGGATTACCCATTTTTTGTATGTTTACATCTGGTTAAAAAGAAAATTCTCCATAAAAGAGTTTTGCTGTTGTTGTAAGTACCTTTCATTTCTTTCTGCCTCTAATGAAATCTTGATGGCTGTTCTTGAGACCAAATGAGTGGGGGGAATTAAAATCTTCAGGGGCACTCTAAAGTTTTTGATCTGCACTTGTAAACCACAGTAGAAAATGTCGTCTCTGACAGCCCAGCCCTTTCAGGTTTATTGACAGATGGTCATATGGAGGTGTGAAGAGAAACACATCTCTTCTGTGCAAGTGGTCAGAAGTTGAAAAGGGTGTGTGTGTTTTTTGCACTATAATATGCTTCTTTTTAAAACAAATTAAAATGCACAGTTGCTTGTACAGGAAAATTTTCCGTTTGGCTCATGGAATATTTAAGTGTAAAAAATAATACTTGGTCTTTATTTGTTATAATAATATAATTCTTTTCAAAAGATATGTCATTGAAGGATCCCAGTGCTTAAATAATTCTTAGAATTTGTGTGTGGAATTTTTAAAAAATGGAGAATGATGAGGTTAGGACAAACACCCTACATTCTGTAGACATGCTTTGTTTGTGTTTGGCAGTTTTTTAAAAAATGGAAATGGTTTTGATGCTATATATTTTTAAAGATGTTAATAATTTTTAAAGGTGAGGGTTTGCACAATATTCTAGCCTTATTTGGTGGTATCTCTGTTTTGACATGTAGCCCCCCTCGCCAATATTTTTGAAACAATCCTAATCAGGTCTACTCAGAAGTAAGCCCCACTTTAGACAGTGGTGCTTACTCCCAGCAAAGTATTGTTAGGATTGCAGCCAAATTCATCTCTTTACCTGTAGCATTTGTAACCATTTGGGACACCAGTTCTGCTGTAAATTGTCCCATGTCTGGAAAAGAAAACATGGAAAGGCTTTTGTTTTTTTGTTTCTTAATGAATGTTTAGAACAGATTTATTTTGCATCTGCTTGCCGTGGCCACTCCTTCTTGAAGCTTCATACATTCAACGGTGGAATGGAGTCTTTTTCTGCCAACTTTGTCTCCTGGACTGTTAGGAGTACAGTTGATAAAAGAAACCCTAGCAAGAGCAATCAATCCTGCATTTCTCTTTACTGGAAAAAAAGAAAATACCAACCAAGTTCCATTTACATGATTATATTGCTAGGTGTTACGTGTAATCATTTTAATGCCTTACCATGTGGAATAAATAAATGTATGGATACCAACAGATAAGCAGTCTCTTGCCTGTTCAGTCTCCTCTTCTGATGCCCATGAAATAAATAAGGACATCTGTATGCACAGGAACACCATATGCCCACTGCAGCACACCCCAGATTTTGGATGGAAGTTCCTGAAGTTTCTGCCACTTTGACCTGAATACCAAGAGGTACTTCTTGATACATCAGATTAACATTGGCATTATCTATGTTGGCTGCCACTGAAAAAACATTTTACCAGACTCAAAATCTTGCTTTGAATTAAAGGAAGTCAGAAGTGATTATGCACAATGCACCATTGTGCATGATGGGACAATTGACAGCATAATGTGTTGTTCAAAATATTGTAAGGCTGTTGAAATGGTACATTACTACAGGTACAAACACTTTTCAAAACTTAGGAGCTAGCAAGATTTTCTAGGAGCTAGATTGTGAGGAGGAAAAGATGGAGGCCTGAGGGTCAAATTCCACAAGACAAGATACAAGTTGGTGAGGACCCGCTGCACAACCTATGAACTGCATCACAACACACTTGATTTGTGTGTTTCCCTCTCTTCCCAAGTTCACTGTTCCCATTCCAGATCAGACTGTGGCACATGTGCGAAAGGAGCTTCCACAATGGGCCAAATAGCTCCTGCTGGTGTGACCTTGGGTCAGTCATAAGTACTTTCAGAGCTCTTCTCTCAAGGGCAGTTCTCGAGAGAGCTCTCTCAGCCCCACCTACCTAACAGGGTGTCTGTTGTGGGGAGGGGAAGGGAAAGGGATTGTAAGCCACTAGGAGACTCCTTCGGGCAGGGTATGAATCCAATCTCCTCCTCCTTTCCAAGACCCTTTCTGTTCAGGGGAAGTGTGTGTGGGCCTGATCTGGAATGGAAGGAGTATACACAGGGGGAGAGAATATATGCAACTGTGACAGTTCACAGGTTGGGTTCTGGGTCCCCTGTGAGCTCCATCTCATGGAACGTGACTTCTGACTACCTCAGTGAGAGAGAAAGGTTTGAGTGGTCTAGTGAAATGAAGGATCCTTCTCTGGTTGTGTCCATCCCCCTTTCCCAGGTCAGCAGGTCTGGTTCTTTTTGGTGCCAATCACATCAAGGTACTTGGGACCTTGCATCCCTGAGCATGAGAACCAACACTATCCATCCCATTCATCTCCTGAGCCCAATCAGGCAAAAATTATTTTGGCACACAACAGCAGAGATATCCCTTGAAGGAAACAAGATGGTCTTGACAAGCTGAAAAACTGGGCTAAAACAAATTGAATTTCAACAGTGAAAAAATGTAAAGTTCTGCATTTAGGTAGGGAAAAAAATCAGATTCATAATTATAGGATGGCAGTAGTATGTGCGAAAAGGATCTAGGTGTCTTAGTAGACCATACACTGAACATGAGTCAGCAGTGTGATGCGGTAGCTAAAAAGGCAAATCCAGTTTTGGGCTGTATGGACAGAAATATAGTGTCCAGATCATGTGAAGTGATGGTATCGCTTTACTCTCCTCTAGATTGACCTCACTGTTGGAAAAATTGGCTAAAATACTTAGATATTCAGAGTTTGCAATGGATCTTTGCTTCACTGGAGAGGAGGTATTTCTTTCTATGTAAAAATCTTTATTTCTAAGGGAAGGGTACACATGAAAATCTACAAAATAACAAAGACCTAAGGCTACATCTCTACAGCTACAGAACAGACCGACCACGCGGTCTCACAACAACAGCAGCAATGGAGATTCTTCTTCTTGACCCCTAGAAGGAAATCACCTGAATACATTAACCAATGATTATGAGTAAACAGACTTCGATTTCCCGGGCTCTCTTCCCATTGGCTCTGAGCCAGGTTTCCATTCCAGGTCAGTCTAGACAATAGCACACAAGGTAAACAGATTATCCCTATAATGACTGAATTAGACCTTGCAACACACACACACATTTCCAACACCCCTTCTTAAGGTCTAACATGTAAGTCATTATACATGCACATACGAACATCATTCATTATTCACTTTAACATTTGGATCAACCATATTCAACATTTTACAAAGACGTTCAAATTTTTCTTTGTTCAGTGGCTTAGTCAAAATATCAGCCACCATTTCCTCTGTGTGACAATGTTCAATCTCTAATAGTCCCTTCTGGTACAAATCTTTCACAAGCACACGTTTAATACCAATAGATCTACTTCTTGCTGTGGTGCTTTCTCCCTTACATATAGTAATACAAGCCTGATTGTCTTCAAACATAAGTACAGATACAGGTCCTCTTATTCCAAAGTGAAAAATCCATTCAAGTCTACTGCAGGCATTTGCTGCTGAAACACACTCAGCTTCTGCTGTAGACTGCGCCACAACAGTTTGCTTTCTACTAGTCCAGTCTATTAGTCCATCTCCGTAGAAGAATAGAATCCACTCGTTGACTTAAATTGTTTCTTTTCTCCAGTTGGCATCCATATATCCGACTAGCCTTGGCCCTTCAGATGGTGCAATTTTCAGTTCTAGGTCCATT